TCCACGGATGACATTTCCCCCAAATTAATAGATTTTCCAGATAATTTACGGGGCTCTATTTTCCCGCTAAATTGGACTCCTAATTTTTCTACAATTCTACCACCCACCATTTATAGAAATTATACTCATAAATACTTTTTAATATGGGAGAAATAGTACCCTTTAAAAACTCTTTATACTACGTATATATAAATTCGAGAAAAATGGAGTGCAGAAAAAACCTAGCAATTAAAAACTGCGGGGGATTCGAACCCTGGTTATCACACGGTGGAAAGCAACGACGTTATGCACTCAGCTACCAGTTCCTATAAATAGATAAATACTTTTCTAAGCATATATTCAGTAGCTAAGATGTTAATAGATATTAAAAGATATTAAAAGAATCTAATTTTAATATTTAGACACTCCTTCGCTAATTAATAACTCTTAAACGTATTTATTTTTTATTCCATCGATGAGGAACGTTTCGAAACGGTTTGATACTCGTGAAGACGCCGGACATCATTAAGCAATCTCTGTTTATCCCAGTGGACGGACCTTTTCATCGTTCGGAGCAAGATACGCTATTACGTGTCGCGAAAATAATAAAAAGAGCTCGTAAGAAGGCACTTCCTACTCGACCCTGTTTTCTCGAGTTATAGTCGTTTTAGTTTTACGGGCAACGTGATGCTGTCGAAGCTTTTGAAGAGTTGAAGGTTCCCGGTGCTTTACTTACAGCGATGAAAATTTCAGAGGACGTGGAAAACTCGAGGAACTTTTATAAGAACCTTAAAAATTTTACGAATTTCTTAATAAATTCCGACGGAGGCTCGGAGCAAGGACAACGGTTTAAAAATTTATGGCAGAACCGAGGGTGGAGCGATCGTCGGTGAAAAAACAAGTAGAAATTGTTGGATACATTTCTTTCTACGAGGTTTCGTTACCGAGATAATCAAACGTTTCGTTGGACGCGCGCGATTTGGCTAACGCGTCCGACCATTATTCGCTATTTCTACTTGCATCGGTATTTTTAAACGTTGTTGGCGGTACAATATCCGTTACAATTGTACCTAACTAGCTAACAAACAGTACTCTGTACGACAAATAGATAATATCGTTCGTTTCGCCATTGTTTCCGCTCACAAACTCAAACGCAAGTGGAAAAGTCAACGTATGGTCGGACGCGAACTCTACGGATCTTCGAGATCCGTTTCCTCCGAAACGGAGCTTCCTACGCGAAAACTTTATCCTTCGTTTTCGATGTGTTTTCGTGCAAAGAATCGTCCTGTTTTCGTTCGAACCGCGAATTTTGTTTCGTAACCCAGAAAAATCCAAAAAAACCATTTCCAAAGAAGCACTAGGTGCAATTATTTTTATCGTGGAGCGTCGATTTCTTTCTAATATATTAATTGGAGCATCGCGAGCGAGATACAGTGTCGAAAATTGTGCGAAAGAGGGAATTAAATGTTAAAAGGAAAGCATTCCGTGCGCCAACGTATTACATAATTCATCGGTGTGACACAACGCGAGGACAACCGTGGCATTCTAACCGTGGCTCGCGGCCATTACGTTGCCATTCACGTTTACACAGGGACCTAGAATTTACGGGTGTGCGCCAGCGCAAACAACTGGATATTTTCCTGCACGTATTTATACGACCCGTATCCCGGTTTCCACGCACGTAATATGTTAATGCGAATTTAGATGAAGCGGATCACCGTACAACCGAGGCTGCCGGAACAACACGAAACACTTTTTCGGTACCGAGCCGGAATACGAAGACAATTTTACGCCAAAGGAAACCTTCCACCCTTCGCGTTCGTACGTAAATTTTGTCTTTCACCCCCCGTGATTGCAAATTCCACTCCGTACGAGACGAGATTGTCAAGTCAAACGACCGTTTAAGAATTATTGTGCATTGAATTCCGACTTCCACGCTATTTCAAAAGGGGTATTTTAAGGGAGAATGTCACGTATAAAATTCTCAAAAAAGGAACGTATCCCAATTCGAGAATTGGAGCAGAGATAAGAATGGAAAGTCGAATTTGGAAGTTTCCGAATTCGCTGGAACGACGAACCGTACCCTTTTAAGAGTCCGTTGACTTCCTGGACGTCCGGATAGAAGCTGGCCACAATTCCTCGGACCGAAATCGCTGTCCCAGTTTCCCCGTGCCACGATGGAAAGCCAATTTCTGGGCGAAGTTCGCGCGACGCTACGCGACGCCCTGCCAGCGTCTCGAAACTCCGTGACGCGAATCAGAAAACCCCCGAAACTCGGATAAAAATTCGCCTTTTAACCCTCCCCCTCGCGAAACTTTTCGCCAGCGTCGAGAGGCGACCATGAGGTCGCGTACGAGGGACGCCGGAGACGTTTCTGAAAATTAAATCGCTGCCCTACATTCGACCAGCGGTTCTAAAGAACCGGGAATACCCAGTCGAACGAAATCTTTTGTCGGGCTCGTTGGATGCGTTACGATAAGAATTCGTTATGTTATTTACCGACACGTAATGAGATATTGTGGCTGAAAGGGGTCCTTTGTGCCGGTTCGATAAAGAAAACTGTCTGTGTGTGTGCTGCTCTGTTGACATTCTGATTAGACGGATCCTTTGAAATTTAACGTGATATGCTAGTACCTCGATATAAGCAATTTCTTAGATTGTCGAAGAAACCGTCTACTATTATTTGGAGAATTTAATTTAGTATCAAGATTGTGCGCTTTTGGGAGAAATTCTATTTTAAAACTACTTTTGCAATTTTCACGGTAGCTTTGAGGAGCTACTTGCTATAAAATTGGACTCGTCAGAGCTTCGTTAGAAGAGAATATCAGAGTTTCTGTGGTTTTATTAGCATTTGTAGTGGTTTGAAAACGAATCCAGTGGCTCTTTCGACCCTTATTCACCCCCTTGGCTCCCCGTAAATAAGACATCCATCGTTCTAGCCGCAAAGGTGCTCGAACATTTCCGAAATGACTCCGAACTTTGATGGAATTGCCTCGCCCGATGCACCACAAAAGACGCATTGACCACCCCTTTCGGATGCATCAAAGAGCAACCCCCCTGGCAGCCATCTATAGCGAACAATCGCCAACTTCCGAATGCCCCAACAAGCTGACGGGGTCGTAAATCGAGTCTCGAAATCTCGCGATATCAGCCCCGGTCGACGAGCTTTATCGTCGACGCAGAACCACCCCCTCACCAGTATTCTCGAAATTTCAACGACTTCGAGAACGGTTAGAAAATTGCCTAGCCAGCTTCGCGGCCCAACGAGAGTTTAATGTATTCCACGGAGCGTGGGTAGAGAATTATAAAACCCTCCACACGTTACGTTGCCCTCTATAAACATTCCCGGCGTCAAATTGCAATTTTACCAAGCATTCTATACAGAATTCTTGCACTCGTGGATTTTTTTAAGAATTCTAGATAGAATATTCCGTTTTTATTTAAATAATCAATTTCACGAAGTCCCGTTTCGAGACTTCCACCGACTCCGGATAGTAGAGGCTGCCAAGTTCGACGGAACTCTGCTCGTGAAACTTTACGAGGAGCTCCGTCGATTTTGCAACGGAGTTCCGTAAGAATCCCAACGATCCCGACGAGAGTTCCACTAAAAAGCGCAGCGCTCGTTTCGAAACTTCCGTGGGAACGCGCAGTTTCGCCTAAGAAGCGGCGAACCCGCGTCGGTTCTTGGGGAGGAAATTTTCGCTTAACCGGCTTCCCGACGCGAAGTTTAACACACTCGAGGGAGGGTGGATTTCTACGGGGACCCAATTTCCAAGCGGCGCGACCCTCGGCGCCGTATTCCTCGCGAAAACCGGGACTCCGAATTGGAATCGAGTCGTGAACGCTCGGCGAACTTTGGCCTTTGATTGTCGCTCTTCAGCATTCGAGGCAGTGTTTCACGTTCTGCTGATCAAAGGTAACCCGGGGCCTCGTATCCGCGATACGTGACCTCCTCGCGAGGGTTTTCGCGATCACGAGAACACTGGGCTTGGATAGGCTTTTGTTGCCCGAGAGAAAGGACCGATTGCAATTCTAGGAAATAAACCGGCAGAAAGGAGGGAATCATCTTCCGGGGGACGCTGGCGTCATCTCGGGTATGGGCTGACAAAAATAGACAGGATTGGTTTATTGGGTTAGGGTGTCATACCTTAAGGGCGCGACATAATGCCAGGGTGTAAACACGCCGATACTGCGAAATACACTCGACGAATTATCTGCTTTCACGAGCGTCTCTATGCTCTAATTTATATGCCACGAACGCTAAGAGTGGATCCTAGTGAATTCTACGGGAGTTTGGGGTTCGCTCGTAGAACTCTGATAGAAGTTTCGTGCATGCAGTTCTATCAGAGTTTCCAGACAGATTTCCAATTTAGAGAACTCTAATAGAGCTCTATAGAATTAGAGTTCATAGAGTTGCATTTATAGAGATCTGTCAGGGTCTGAATTCTAACGAATTCTATAGAATTGCAGCTATAAAATTGTGTGGCAATTCTATCGACTCTAGAATGTTTTATAGAGTTTGCTCGTGGAATTCAACTAGAATTAAATCTACAGAGTTTTACTTATGGAACGAAATCTTCCAAACTCTAGAGAGATCTATAATAATGCCATTTGTAGGACTCTGTTCGTTCCAGGGATTCATAGAAAGAATTCTACAGAGCCTCTAGAGTTCCGTGACAGTTCTAGCGTTCATATAAACTTTCACAGAGCCTCGTTTGTTGAATTCTACATTTATCTGTCTTCTACCACTTTACAACTCTGTGGAGATCTATAATAGAGCCATTTGTGGGACTCTATCCGCTCCAGAGATTCATAGAAGTCTCTAGAGTTCCGTGACAGTGCTATAGACTATACAGACTTTCACGGAGCCCCGTTCGTTGAATTCTACAGAGCTCTACCTCTGCTACGCTTAAATTTAGAGCGATAGAGCTCTCTAAAATTTGATCAGAGATAGAGAGTAGAATTCTAGTAGAATTCATGGGTACTTAGGACCGGTATAGAGTAATCAGATGCAATCGTACCGGCTTCCAGGCGGGCTGGCGAGCCATCGGACACGTTTCTGCCCTGGGACTTCGGCGTGCCCTCGCTCATGGTTTCGGCGCGTCTTCGATCCTTCGGGGGTGGATTATCCTAGGCCTCCCTCTTCCTTCAGCGGCCTCCTGGAGACCCGAGTCCTCCGCGATCCACCGATTCACCCTTGTTCGGCCACCTTCTTTCTCCACGCTCTTCCCCCTCCCCTTGGAACTCTCTATATCACAGCGTGGTCGTAGCTTATTATTTGAGGGAACTGGGTAAATTGGCACTTGGAATGTTTTCGGCACTTGGTAGTCTTCGAGATGGACGAGACTGCGTCACTTAATAAATGTTTTCAACGAACCGACGTGCACATCCTCGTAACCGTCACACGATGGAGTACTTCCGGTCACTTCTCACTGCCGGGTTCCCAGAGAGTGTCGAAACACGGGGATTCGCGGGGGCGGTCCAGGACGCGTGCGAAACGCGTCTACGACGGGGAAGACGCGACACCCGGACGGCTTCCGCGGAGGGTGTGTAGCCTGTTCAACGCTTCAGCCTGATCTTCCGCATCCCTCCTCTCGTACGCTCCGGCGAGAGAGGTCTCTCTCTCTCTCTCTCTCTATCTCTGTCTCTGTCTCTTTCCCTCGGTCGGTCGCGGTGTCACAAGGTCACGGGGATCGGGGGATCGGCGGATCGGTGCTCCAGATAGAAAGCCACGCACGCAGACGGGTCCTCGTCTCGGTCGCGCGCGCTCCTCCAATTACCACGGAGGGAACGACGATCCCCGGAAGTGGTCCGCGTCCGTTCGGGAGGATCGATTGTTCGGCCGATTGGCGTCGCGTACGCGCATCGACAGGTACGAGAGAACGCGGGACACCGGCGAGTTTTGGTGGGTCTCGATCAATCCCAGGGACTCGAGACACGGTCGTCGCGTCGCTCTCTGTGCCGAGCTGGCTCGCGGTTGCAGGTCACCACCCCTGGACGCTCGTCTTCCCCGTGGCTTGGATGCTGCGGAGTGCTCGACCACCTTCGCCCACCCTCTCCGACCCTCTACGAACCCTCCTCCCACTCCTGCTCGCTTCTCCTCTCTCTCTCTTTCTCTGTTTCTCCGGTGGCGTCTCCCACTACGCCGTCCCTGCGTCTTCTACGGTCCGCGATCGCGTTCGACGCGACAGTTTCCACCGTCGCGCGTGAAAAACTTTTTGGTAAAGCCGGATGAAACGCGTCGAGGGCCGAGAAGAACGCACGGCTGACGGTGGCCCGATCGCGGGGGTTAGGAACGAACACTCCCGGCTTTTCCAGGCCTCTGTGTCCTCTCCTTCCCTCCTCGGCGCGCGCACGATCTATCCGGACTATCCCTCCATCCCCCTACGTGACCCCCTCCGCAACCCCTCGCGCACGAGCTTTCGATCTTCTCCTTTTATCTCGCGACTCTTCTCTCTCTTCGTTTCTCGCCCCTGTCTCGACGTTCCTGGCCTCCCTCCACCTCCCCCAGCTGCCCCTGTTCGGCGGTGGTGGTGGTGCCCTCGTCGGGTACGCTCGTCGGTCTTCGTTCAGGACGCGAGGATCCGTCTTGGTCGCACTCGCGCGACGCGTCCCGGGCGTTGCGAGCAGCTCGCCATCGCTTTTCCTAACCCCCTAATTATGCGCATGCGCGACTAACCTCCGGGATACGCGTCCCCCTTTCTCTCGACGCGGGCCTCTCTACCTGTCGCCCTCTTTTTACCGCCCGTACCCCTTCATACCCCCCTTCGACCGGAGAGAGAACGGGACGCAGGTGCCTCTTCATCCCCCTACCCCCCCACAACACACCAACCACCCCCTTCTTCTACTTCTCTGCCTCTCTTGCATCCGCTTCCTCGGACCTGTGCGCCGCTTTTTTTTTCTTCTATTTCACCTTTACCGGCTCTCTGTTATCGAATATCACCGGGAACCGTTCTCCCTGTCGGTCAAAATTTTACACCCACGGGTTTTTCTTGCCCCGATGTGCTCGAGCTCGTTAAAAAATAGATCACGATGCAATTGGGAAACATTACACGGAGACATTGTTTGTTTACTTGGAATTGGAAACTCGAGTTTAACCCTGATTTATTTTATTTTATTTTATTTTCCTTTAAATCATTTAAAAAATAATAAGCTAACGGAGGATTACAAAAATTAATTTAAACCCCAACAATCCTTTTAAGGGTTAAAAATAGGGCACAACAGAGTTTACAGAGGCAGAAACAACGAGTAACGTAGAACGGCTGCGGAACCCGCGAAACCGTATTCGATGACGCGCGTGCCCCAACGAACGTTTAAATTCAATTATCTTGCAAACGAACCGTCGTACGGAAAAATTTCATCCCGCGTTCTCGACTAATTTTTGCGCGTGCAATTGATTTATTTTATAAAAATAGAGAAACTTTGAAAAAAAATTCCCTCGCCGGTCTCCGTTATATTTTTTTATCATCGTTATTAGCGTGTATTTCGCTATGTTTGCGACAGGTGAATATTTTTTCAACGTCGTTCCAGCCGCGCAAACTTCGTCGCGTATTTTCCACGCCGCTGGGAATATCCCGTACCGTTCGCCGGTGGATATTTTAAATGCTGATCAGCTATAACGACGACTCGTCGAGTGATTTCTAACCGACGAAAAACTACGTACCTCAGCAAAGAATTCGCGGTCGTACGTGCTCGTTTTTATTCGCGCGCTACAGCGGAACAAAGAATCGCTTCGTAAAACTGTTCCACTGAACGCGGTGAACGCATCGCTTTGTTGAAGTTTAAATTATCGTATTCCTCTGCTCTCTCTCTCTCTCTCTCTCTCTCTCTCACTCTCTGCTCTTCCCTCGAAATTTCCCTTTTATATATCTTCGTCAACGATGCGCTTCCATCGTGTCGTTTCGTAAGCTTTTGCATAACTCCCTGTGCCAATTTCTGTCCCAACGCAATGAAATAGAATCCCTTCCTGTGCCGCGCGATTTATATTTAGCATCGAATGTCTCTGTTTATCGCGCGGCGAAACATTCGAACGGAAAAACAAACGTGCCTTTCAAACGCGATATTTTTCATTCAATTTTTTATTCGACGAATCCAAGTATTCATCTCGTGGTCTTATATTGAATGTCTTATAAATACTTTTTTTTTTTAAATGATTTTGGAGGGTTGGAACAATCGTTCAGTGTATAAATATTTTTTACTCGACGAGACGATCGTCCTCGTTTCTACGACGCTGACGGATTCTCCGATCGTCGTAGAGACGTTGCATCCTGTTGTCTCGTCGTCCGGACTCAAAGAACGATTGCACAGGGAAAAATGGCGACCGTCGCGGGGAGAAACCGATGCACGAAACGGCGGATGAAACGTATTTGTTTCCTCCTCGTTCCTCCGACGGGACTACGGTACCATTTGTCTTTCGGTTTCGTCGTTTTTTCTCCTTTTCGTTCATTCGTCAAACGTTTCGACGCTTGACGCGCAATCACGGACTCCGAAGTCTGCCCGTAATTTCCAGAGAATAATCGAAAACGTCGGATGTTGTCCCCCTCCCCGAAAAGTCCCGAATTTCGACGGTCGATCCCGAGAGATTGTTGTAAATTTACTATAAATGTAACACTGAGTACGTAATTTATACCTAATATTAAAATACTATTTCTTTTAACGGTACTCGTGAGAGCTACACGCTGCAACATTAACGCTATCGTTCAGTTTACTTTTATCGTGGACACTATCCTTCTATTGCTGCCATTATTCAGCTTATGTCATAATAAAAACGATACTAACTCTATTATTGCTTCCTCTTCTATAAAAAGAATGACAATAAATATATAATTACAAGTGAATACGTGCCTATAAAATATTACTCTCGAAGGAATAAGATTTCGTTGCATGTATCCCTAACGCAGATCGATGCAAATGTCTGAGCAATCTGACCAGGGAAATTAAGAATAGAAATATCAAATACACGTAAAAAAATTACTCTTGAAGAAGTAAAATTTCGTTGCAAGTATCCCTAACGCAAGTCTCAGTTGTGTCTAAATAATCTGACCAAGGTAATCAACGGCCTGGGCATCGATTAACTGTAATCCGTAAAGAAATTCGCGGGCTCGATTAAACACGAGCGTTTGCATTTTGTCGCGGTGTTAACGGGTTGCATTTTTCACGCGACGGTTCCAGCGATCCGTTCCGCGAGCGAGAAAGTGCTTAAGCGGTCCATTTATAAGTCGCGATGCAGATTTAATGGGGGGTAATTTGCGAGGGCACGACATTTCATTTGTCGAAGCAACGGTCCTCTCGACTCCAATTTCTCCCTAACGCGGTGGCTTCTGTGATTCGACGCTCGATCCGATCCCCGTTCAAAAGGACGCTTCCACCCCCCCCGAGCGAGCAAGAAAACGCGTTTCAATTCGCCCGGAAATTTGGCGAATTCTACCCTTCAACCACCACCCCCCTTCTTCGCAGCGTAACGACACCGGAGGAATTTATATTCCTCCCCCCCCCCCTCACACCCGAGGAATCGACGAGTTTTTTTTTCTGCCCCGAGGGTGGAGGAAATTTTGTGAATTTTCTGAGAATTCTCAACAGACCATGAAAATCCTCGATACGTTATTTTTAGTTTTATTATAACGTTTCTCTCTTCGTTTGTTAGGCGTGGATTTAACGAGTAACATATTTTTCTCCGCGGTATTCGTACGTCCGACGAAGCTGACTCGCATTGTAAAATAGAGATAATGTTACGACATTGGGAGAATTTTATTCGTCCCTGTTCGCTCGTCCCGAACCGTCCAAGGAACAAATGTCTCCTTTCTGCCTCGACTGCGGAAACTTTGTCTCCGGAAAACGCGGTGCATTCTCCGGGAGCCGAAATTAAACGAAAGGAGAACCGAAAGAAAATATTTAGAGAGCAAATTATAAGTCCTTAAAAAATTATTATATTTTTAATCAAATATTTTCTTCTCTTCTTCGAGCTCGTTTCCATGAATATTTCTCCCTTGTAATATTTGATATTACGTTGAAAATATATTTTTATATTTGATAAAAACTGTTTCCGTCGTTGAATCCATACTTGAAAATATGTTTTGTTCGCGAACGAAGCTTATGCATATGTGAAGCCTCTCCGTCCAATGAAAATATTCCCCCGCGTGAAAATATGTTTTATTCTCCGAGAGTTGCGTGTTTTCGGGCATTTTTCAATTTCCCGGGTGTCCCGAGACCAACCTACTGTCTACGCTCGTTCATGGGAATTCGATGTCTGCGGGGAAAGATGGAACATTTCCGGATTCGTCGGAGTACGCCTCCAGGGGATGCATTTTCGCAGGATTTTTCGACGAACACGACGCGCCTGGAGGGAACTCTCCAGGCTACATCGAGACTCGAATTTCCCCTAAACAGGAATTCATCGAGGTTGACTTCGTCGATCGCGATAATCGTGAAATAAAATTTCTCCAGTATCGATTCCCCTTCGATCTATCTTAAACCTAAGTCCGTTGAAATTAGTCGATTCCGTAATCAGGATCAGGGGGGAACAAGTTACGTTTCAAGTAGAAACGCCCCACATTGATCAGACATTCAACGACACTCGTGCCCGGTGAATTTTCAAAATTGTATATCTCGCGAACGAGGGCTCGTATCGAAAATTTTTATTTCGCATTTTCGATTCGTTTCTGCCCGACCAATCATCGCGCAACGGCTCGCGTCACCCGCCCCCACCCACTCCACTCCACGCGCGATAGAACGCTAACCGCCACAGGTGAAAATATTATTTCTTTTCCAAAAAATATCGCGTCGATTTATCGCGATAAATAAAATACGCGGAACGTAATATAATATATTTATAATAAATTCGTATCATCGTAGTTCGAATAATTTCGAGCGAGTAAAGTCAGCACGAAATATTAGTAATAAGGAATATTATGATCTCTCTGTTCCCGACCTATTTATTTTTAATATTTCACGAAAATATTCCCAGGAACGTTCTAATTACTAGGATCTCCGGATTTAACCCTCCGGAATATCATTAAAATTTCCGCCTGGGAC